TCGTCTCGCTTTCTTATGGAAAGATTTAATTACGTCCACGTAAAATGTTGGTGAACGTTTTAATTGTACCAATAACTGTTTTTTATTGCGATAATTGATAAGTCTGAAATACACTCTTAACGTTGTGTATTATCTCAACTAAGTTTAAAGATTTCCTCTCCGATTATCACTTTAACACACTTCAATTCATCACAAGGAACACTATTATCCTCCATTTTCATTAAAAATCTTTAAAAAAGCATAAATTTTGAACTCGTAATATTAAATCGCTTAAGATAAGCACACAGAGTAAATAAACATTGAAACGTGAAATGAACTTGCAAACGTATTGCCCGCGCGCCTCCGCTTTTAACAAATTTATTCCCAAAAGCCTGGCTTTAAATCTCTATACTAATTGCTATATATACAATCGTAGTTATATTTCATTATAGAATATTTTGCCATAGGTTAGAAAGAGAGCGATCGTCTTCTCGAAAGCTCCGTAAAAAGCCCACGCAAGCGAAGGAGACAACTATTAGCTCTATTAAAACTCATTTTTTATGACAGCAGCAGTATCGCCAAGGCAATACAAGGTCATCGGTCGACATGTGTCGAACAGTGGAGTGCGCGGGAAATTTGAAATAACTTGAAACATTTTACGAGTTATTTTATTAGTTGCTATTATTGATTGATATTATTGATTGATTCAGGTTTAATAAGGCAAGCCCGGCTTTTCGGCTTTAATGGAAGCTTCGACACTGCTTTTTCACATGTAAGTGTGCGTTGCTGTATTATTCAAAAGGCCACCACTCGGCCAGTATTGAGAGACAATCTTGAGTGTAAACTGAAAGTCCTTAATGTGAAAATTTGCTTCTAGATCATACTATTTACATTAATTTTGACATTGTGATGTTTGAGTTTAAGCTAAAGATTGTCTCTAAATACCAAGTACCCTAAACATAAATTTTCTGAGTAATGCATGTTGACTGTCACATTTTTAGAAATGTCTATGTCATGCGAGGGATTTAACATGGTTTGTTTTTATTGTTTTGGTTGTGGTTGTGTTAAGCATTGCATCAGATTCTTAGTCTAATGTATTTTACATCATTGTAATCAGTAAGAATTATGTTTTATTTGTTTACTTATAAAATAATCCTTTTAATGGCTGTGTGTTCACCATGTAAAATGATTCTCATACGCAGCGCGTGCTTTTCGTCTTGTCTCAATAGATGAAGCTATAACCATCTTCATTACGCCTGATGTTATATTACTTAGACCAACAACGGGCAGCAGTGACAAACAAAGGTACAAGATGGTCTGGTAAGGCATCTAAATCCACTTGTGTCAATGCATCAATATACAAAGTGAATATTGCCAAGATTTTTCTACTAAATTACTTAGTAATGTTTAAATGGCCTTATTTTGATTTTTATTAATCTTCCAACATGTAATTAAATAAAAGCTTTTAAAATAAGTGTATGATATATTTTTCTCTTACATATTAATAAGATAAATGAATCAATATATCTGAAGTGGCAATGGGCCATCCATAAAACTGAAAGAACCAATGACTAATGGGTCAATGATATTATAAGTAAAAAGGTGTAGATAGGTTACCTACACAATATTCGATCTTCAAAAACGGCACACTAACGCACACATAAATAACTAAATATTGCAATAGCACACTACATTACGATTAGACGTCAAAGTAGGATGGCATGATTAAACTTTCGCAAGCGCAAAAGAGACAAATGTAATTTGCGACAGTGCGTGGTCTGGTGGTGGTCTTTTGTAGTAGGAACGATGTAGAATAATTAATCAGATATGACATTATACCATATACCGTGATTTATGCCTAAAACGCGATTCACTCATGAGTGCAAGTAGTAAAAGTAATAAAGTAGTATATAGATATTTTTATCCCTCTCAATTTTTTCTGACAATATATTTTAAAATACGTAATTTATTGAATTTGTAAACAATACGAAAATAAATTACGTAATAAAGGAACTAGTAAACTAATGAAATATCATTCTTTTTGACTTTTGGAAACCTCATCACATATGACGGCATTTTCGGTGCAAAAACAAAACACGAATTACTACGAGGGTGGATTGAAAAGTACTCGGCCTAACACAGATCCATTCAATTCTAAAAATCAAATTTACCCACATTATTTAGTTCAGTTCAGACTAGTTCATTGTGTGAAGTTCGAAACGTGTGCGATAATTAGTTGTGATTTTATAAATTTATTAACAAAGTAATCGGACATAATTTCCGCGAATGGAGCAAATCGAGCAGCGTGCCGTCATTAAGTACCTCCATAAGAAGGGGCTATCATCAAAAGCCATCCATGATGACATGGTCAGTACATTAGGCGATTGTGCTCTATCATATTCATCCGTCAAAAAAATGGATAGCAGAATTTAAGCGTGGTAGAGAGAGTGTGAAAGATGAACCCCGCTCTGGAAGGCCTTCGACGTCAACTACTGACGAAAATATTAAAAAAAGTACTTGATTTAAAATGGGAGACCGCAGATTAAAAATTAGAGAGATAGCCGAGATTATAGGCATCTCTTATGAACGAACTCAAAACATCATTGTCAACGAGTTGGGTTTCCACAAGGTGTTTGCGAGGTGGGTACCGCGACTGCTTTCAGTTGAACAAAAAAGGACGCGATTGACTATTTCACGCGACTGTTTGGAGTTATTTGAAGCCGATGCAGATGATTTTTTGAATCGTTTTGTTACTATGGACGAAACATGGGTTCATTACTGTACACCGGAAACAAAACAACAATCAAAACAGTGGAGAAGACCTGGTTCACCACCCCCTAAAAAGGCTAAGTCGATTTTGTCGGCAAATAAGGTGATGGCTTCAGTATTCTGGGACTCGAAAGGTGTGATTATGATTGATTATCTTGAAAGGGGTCAGACTATAAACTCTGATTACTACTGCACCTTACTACGTCGTTTACGAGAGGAAATAAAAGAAAAACGTCGAGGAATGCTCAGAAGAAAAGTCCTGTTTCATCAAGATAACGCCCGTGTTCACACGTCAGTACAGTCAATGGCTGAAATTCACAACTGTGGCTTTGAACTGTTACCGCATCCGCCGTATTCACCTGATCTGGCACCATCAGACTTCTTTCTGTTCCCTAACCTAAAAAAGCACTTGGGAGTTCAAAGATTTTCGACAAACGACGAGGTCAAAGCAGCTGTAGACGCATATTTTGACTCTAAGGAAGAATCATTTTTTTTCAACGGTCTAAATGCTTGGAAGGGGAGGTGGCAAAAGTGCATTGAACTTGATGGTGATTATGTAGAAAAATAAAAATATAATTGATTTAGTATGTGTTTATTTTCTTGGATAGGCCGAGTACTTTTCAATCCACCCTCGTATCAACGCCGTTGTCAATGACGCGACGATAGTGCGACAACTGAGCTCAGGTTTGCTAATTAGCAAAGACATTCAAGTAGTAGTAGTAATAGACCCGACATCAGCAACAAAATTGTCATCTGTAACTTTTGTCCTATAGGATGATATATCTGCGATTTTTGTCATTTAGTCTTAGTGACATCGTCAAAAGGTCAAGACGCAATCGCTTCGTAAATTAAAAAATTATTTTTAAAGAAAATATGCCCTGTTGTGCATTAAGATATTATAAGTCACGATATACGAATACGCCATAAGGCTAAAATTAAAAAACTAGGCCAACGAAATAAATATTTTAAACGGAAAATATTAAGCTTAAAAGATTATTTAAACATTTAGAAAAGAAATTTTATATTAAAAAAATATGGTTAATTACTACAGTAGAAACGCAAGGCGAAGGCAGGATTATCTTGTCATAAATTTAATCTTTCTTTTCATAAATTTGCTCTAACTCTCTATTATTAATCTCCAGCTGCTTACAAGTATGCTAGAAAATGTATTTTTGTAAAATGCTATATATGCTATTATTATAGCATCTAATGGACCGAGCGACGTCATCCAAGATGCCACCAATGTGACTGCTGTTTGAATTGATTCTTAGTTATTGGAAATTAAGTATTTTATTTCATGACACTTAGTGTGTGTGCGTAGTGTGTAGTGTAAAAGTTAATATAATTTTATGTGTGATAGAAGCCATAATAATTAGATTTATACAATAAAACAATCATGCATATTCCCTACTGTTATATCGTAATGCATTTCAAACTTAGTAACCTTCAACAACATTATCGATACTTTGATGTCGAAACGGGAACATTAAACTTTAAAAAAACCGATACTAAAACCGATTATTTATTATCTATATCATATATTTACCTTATATTTATTAGCATCACTTAATGGAAAATAGCTGAAATGTTTTCCATATAAATAATCAGCATAGTGTTGCTATATTTCGCTAGAGGGTATCACACACGCACGAGGTCACAGTTTTTGTACGCAAACGGTCTTAATGTCCGCTCTATGGAAAAAATATATATATATATATATATATATATATAAATTTCTTTGATAATTAGCCTAGTTTTTACGTGCCTATCTACCTATTTTTCTTATAATATCATTGCTAATGGTAGATATAATGATCGAGAGTGGTAGCTTTGCACCAGTATAAAGGGAGTGTAGGAAGTCCCCATTAGAGAGGGTAACAAAAATATGCAGTAAGCTGATGAATGCAGTTGGCCTGAGACAATATTTTATATCCTTGGGGGAGGCCTATCTTCAGCAGTGTATGTTTGAGGGTCTTAATAATGATGATGACTAATATAAGATATTGCCATAACTGCATGCCCCTCTGCACATTTTATGATTGAATATTTTTTATTATATACATGTGATGTTAAGTATCAGTTTCCCTGTCCGCCATATAGAGACAATAGTTAAGCAATTGAAATGTTCATATATGATTCGTGGAACAGACAAAGAGTTAAGCATAATAATAAGTGAATTAATGGTTAAACAATGGCGCCATTTTTCTTTTAAAATAAGAAGAAGTGAATGAATAAATAAAGACAAAACTCACCATTTCGACTTTAGGTATGTGATCAACTGTCTCACTATTAATGGCTGTGGTTCTCAATATGTGCATACCAAACATATCCTCTTTTGGTGTTACTATCACTTGATCTTTACAAGAACAACGAAGGGGTTTTTGATATACTGGTGAGCTTTTAGCATGTGATGATGTGTTTAAACAAGCAACTGCAGTTCCGTGTGAGTACCCAGTCCCTGAGCTGTCTTTTGCTCTTTTCATGTTACTTGAAAGGTAGGACAAACGGCTGGAAAGGAAAGAAATTATTTACTTGTAAATATTATATGAAATTTATGTCCCAAATGAACTAGTTAATTCATTTTAAAACAGGTGTTATTGAATATATAAATTTAGACTTGAAAGAAGAACAGGCTGATATTATTATCTATGGCCCTTATGAGGTTTGTTTGTAACTTGACCCGATAGAATTTATCTTTTAATACAATGTATAGGAATTATCATGAAATATAAATATTATTGTAATTTTGTAATTCATAATTCTTTTATGTTTTTTCTTATATATATATAATCATCCTTTCAGTGTAAATGTTAATCCAGGGAGAAGTTAGAAATATTGTTGATCCGCCTATTTGACATGTTTGCTCAGCTCCTCGTCGCACAAACTGATATACTTTGATCCATCCTTGATGCGCGTGTGACGTCGGTGGATCTGCACTAACAGGTTTTCAATATACTCGTCAGCATTTGTTGATCTATCAACGGTCGAAAAAATCATACTGAATATGATTTTTTAGATCCAGAGTATATTTCATTTATATGCGACATTTACTTAGACTTAGTGGATCCGGAGCAATAATTGACGAATAGTACTCGAACACGAAGCGGCAACGTCGCGTTCTATGTGTGACAGAGAACCCAGTAGACTACTTCGTTATAGTAATAAAGTAACAAAATGCTTTATCTGCTGAGTTTGAAGATCAAACTTTGGCAGGTTTTATTGCGCAAATACGTTTGCGCGAGTTTTTGTTATCGTGTGAGTTAATTTGTGTTATATTGGTCATTTGTCATGGATCAATTAGAAGATGATGGATAGTATTTTATTACAAATTAATTTATCACTTGAGTATGTGTGTGTGTGTGTGTGTGTGTGTGTAAGGGTGGGAATGCGATTTATTGTGTGCCTGTGGGTGTGTGTGCTCGCGCGTGCGTGCGTGCGTGCGTGAGTGCGTGCGTGCGTGAGTGCGTGCGTGTGTATGTGCGTGCTGTGTGCGGGCGTGAGGCTGTATGTCTGTGTTCGTATATGTGCGCGCGCACACGCGCACACACACACACACACACACACACACACACACACACACACACACACACACACACACACACACATTGACGATTTTGTATAGCAACATGAAATCCAGCAAAAGCCCCCGCTGTTACAGGGTACTTAATTTAAAATACGTCAGTCGGTCTTCGCATGAGGGTAGATCCTTTATTTTGTAAGTTTGGTACGAAAGATACCACAAAAAACGCTTCTGGATAGGCTCTATGCGTTTCACGTAAATGTCATAAAATGGAGACCAGACCTGACTACAGTATTCGAGGCTGGAACGGACTAAAGACTTGTACAAGAATATTTTTGTAGAGGTCCTCTTAAATTCTTTAGAATTACGCAACACGAACCCCAACATTTGAAGACCCCTTGTAACAATTCCATCAACGTGATTATGAAACCGCAACTTTTTGTCCAGAATCACACCCAGATCTCGAACAGAGTCCACTTCTACCAAAGGATGACCATCAATATTATACATAGGTGTCGGAACATTTACACACCTTGAGAATCTTATAATTTTACATTTATCGAGGTTCAAAAATAGTCTGTTCTTAATGCACCACAAAGACATCCGGTCCAAATCCTCTGATCTTTGATTTTCAAGGACAATTTCATGTCATCTGCGTACATAAAGCAGGTCGCGTGTTTAAAAACAGACGCTAGGTCATTTATAAAAATATTGAAAAGGATCGGACCGAGATGGGAACCCTGAGGAATACCAGACGTAGGTAGAAATGGTTCTGAGGAGTAACCATTTACCACAACTCTCGATTTTCTCTGCCTGAGGTATGAAGAGAACCATTCGAGAAGATTGCCAGTGATGCCAAAAATTGAGAGTTTGTGAAGTAAGATGTTATGATCTACAATGTCAAATGCCTTGAACGCTTGAAGTCTATGTAGATGGTATCCACAGACAAGCGGGAATCGAGAGACTTGGAGACAGTCCACAAACGAAACGAGATTTGTAGCTGTAGAGCGAGATGTTAAAAAACCCGATTGTTGGGGTGAGATTGTTTTATGTGCCAAGCCAAAATAGGACAAACTAATGATTCAAAAACTTTAGCGAAGACAGACAATCTGGATATTGGTCTGTAATTTCTGACGGATCCTGCGCCTCCTGATTTATAAATTGGGACAATACGTGCCAGACCGAAGGGAAAGTACCCGTTTTTAAAGACATATTGAAAATGGTTGTTAAAGGCAAGGATAACGCTTCGCGGCAGTTGATTACAAACAAAGGGGGTATGTCGTCAGGTCCAGCTCCCTTGGCCCAATCTAGACCAGTAAGAGTTTTGAGTACTTGATCTTGTGAGAAGTGCAGATTAGCAAGATTATTTGAGGTACAAATTTGGTCAACAGTGGTCACAGACAGTACTGAGCTAGTGTTATACACCGATGCGAAAAATGAGGCAAAGAGATTGCATATGCCGTCACCATTATCTGCTTTGTCATCTCCGAAAGTCATGGATGTAGGGTAAGCATTGCTATTACGTTTTTTATTTTTTATGAACATCCAGAATAATTTTGGATTTTTGGAAAGTGCTCCCTCCAGATCCGCGACATAGTTTTTACGACAGGTGCTTATTAATTCGGCGCATCTTTTGCTAACTGTTTGTAATGCAAGTTCGTCCAGTGGATTTTTGTATTTACGGTACCTCAAATGAAGTTTGTTTTTTTCCTTGAGTACCATACTGGAAACTTTTTTGTGGAGGGTTTACATTTTCGAACGTACTTAGTAATCGTGTCTATTAAAATAGCATAAAATTCTCTTACCATGACATCAACCGAACATGAAGATTGTATACGGTCCCATGAAACTGAATTTAAATGTGTTATGATTTTATCGTAGTCCGCCTTATGAAAGTTATATCTTTGGCTTTGCGCGTTAGGCAATAAACTTGGCGGATCACAACACGAAAATGTTAGAACTAAGGGAGGGTGGTGAGAGACGGAGTTACTCAGACGAGTCACCACGCACCACACCACTGACCTTCAGCATGCTGGAGAGAACGAGATCAAGAATTCTACCTTTGTCATTTAAAATATAGTTATATTGAGTGAGATTATTAAGAGAAATAAAATCCAGTAGAGCATAATCTAATGAGCTTTTGGTTATAAAACTGAGTGGAGAAGACGTATTACGTTTATCCCAGATAATATTACCTAAATTGAAGTCGCCCATAATTAATGTTTTTGCATTTGATTCCAACACACGGTTTGTATTTTCAATGTAACAATCAAGAATGTTTTTTTGTAAAGGTGAGGGAAGATATACACAACACAATAATATGTTTTCAGAGGAATTACCTCTTCCGCCTATCTCTAATTCCACCCATACATCCTCACAGTCGCTTTCCAGATGTGACATCCTACGAGTTGTCCATCCTATGTTTGAATACTGCAATGAGCACCCTGCCACCAGGACCAGGTTTATTACTATGGAAGCCACTAGTCTCCCGGTCGCGCCTGTACACTAGATATCGCTCACTAAAAAGTTCGCCATCGTATATAGTATTGTTAAGCTATGTTTCGCATAAGAAAATGACATCGTAATTAGAATTTAATACACTATTATAAAACTCTGTGGTTTTTGTGCGGAGGCCGCGTACGTTTTGATAGTAAATATTTAACGTATTGAATTTTAAGCCTTATTAACTGTACGCTTAGCTTGAGAAAATTTAGATTAGCTTATGATAACCGTTCCAATATTGTCGAGTTTCACACAAGTATGTATTCCGATGTATCCGTCTTTCGCATGTAAATGCGGCCGCCTCGAACCCATACATGCTTATACTGCAGCTCCCTAGCTCGAGCGCGCGCCGACGCATGAAGATACTTATTTTCAGGCGACAGATTTTCTGTTACATATATGGCAGTCTTTTTTTCTGTTCCGAAGCCGAGATGCCCGGTGTTCAGTCTATCTTGTGGATGATGTATATTGTACTTTATAGTTGCGGCCAAAAGCGTATCTCGCGAGCGAGGACTGTTTAACTTCCGCTTCATTTACAGGACAAGATACGGTTTTACCAAGTTGCTTAACAATGGACAATAGGTTTTCAGACTTCCTTTCTGGAACGCATTGGATTTCCAAGTTTGAGGCACGGGAGATTTGTTCGAGTTGGTTAAAGCGACTGGTGAAAGAGTTTAATTCATTCCGGAGGCATTCCTTCTCCTTTAAGATCATCTCAATGTTGCAATGTCGCCATTGGCACCACTTCCGCTACAGGTAGTGGCGTTGTCTAGTTGTTGAGTTATAAATTTAATTTGTAGCTTGTACCGTCATCGCGGCTGCTTTCAGCCAATCCGATTGTTTATCTTATCCTTTGCTGTGCTCTGATTGGCTCATTTAAATCAGATCCACATCACAACCATCCACATGGAGCCACATCAGTTACCATACTGGATCAACAAAAGGCGCCGGATCAACATGCGTTTTCGGATCAACAAAGTGCTCACGTGAAGGCGCGTCTGATCAACATTTACCGTAAAGATAATATATATATATATATATATATATATATATATATATATACTAGCTTGCCAGGCGATGAGATGTCGTTCTGCCATTTTCGACGACTCTTTGTCATGTCATATTAAAAATCCTAAAATTCACAGAAAAAATTGTGGGCCACTCCTGGGCAAAAAAAACTATCCCATCTCTCAAGTTGGACCTAACTGCACACTGTGTGCAAATTTGATTAAAATCGGTTAAGTAGTTTAGGAGTATTGAATAAAACTAAATTTGCGGATTTTATCGCGTTTATTTCATTACTTTTACTTATTTTTAATTCCCGACGTTTCGGGTGCTTTACAGCACCCATGGTCCCGTGAGTTTTTTAATGAAATAAACGCGATAAAATCCGTAAATTTAGTTTTATTCAATGTGTAGTGTTCGCGTAAATTTAAGAAATCATTAGTTTAGGAGTACATCGCAGACAAACAACATGACACATAATTTATATATATTAAGATATATATATATATAAACCATCAACAAAAAAGTATTAAAATCAAAGAGCAAACTCAAAAATCTACACCAAGAATTATCTCAATAGATCACTGCTATGATAGATCTCCATTTAAGATCTATCTTAGCAGTGAAACCTTAAAAATGTAACTTCATATTTCTTAACTGTATAGCTTTACTATTAAACTAAACCCCTTAAATTCAATACAATGCATTTCAATGTAGTCAATGCCAGCCAATATTTGGAAATTATTTGATTTTTTAAGTTCTTTGCAGTTTTATGTTTTTACTTTTTTGACCAATTTCATTTTTGACTTTGAGAGATTTATTAAAATTGGCTTGAGGGGATTAAGAAATATCGTAAGCTCAAAGTACCTAGTGACTAGAATGTCAACAAAGTCATTACATTAAAATCACCATCCCTTATTTGTCCACCCTTTTGTGTATTTTTTTAAATTAAATGGAACCAACCTTAAAGCATATTTATGCTTTAAGGATGATACCTTTTTAATAGGTTTTCCTATTACATAGTTAAACAATTAGATAGGTATCCTTAAATCTATTTAATTCAGAAAACATTAAAATTAGACTTGCAAAGAATATTCTTATTTGGCTATTATTCAGTATTCTACTACTTTTTTTCCTATTCGGCCAAATACCGAATATATGGATACCGACTGCCTCGTTGGTCTAGTGGTTGTAGTAGTTCGACTACTGAACATGAGGTCCTGGGTTGGAATCCCAGGTCGGGCCATAAAATCTATTATTGAATTTTTCTGTCAAGAAATTCTCAGTAACTGCCCGGAGTCAGGAAGTTGGCGGTGTCTCACCCCCGTGCCTCGGAAAGCACGTATAGCAGTTGATCCTGCACCTGATCTCTCTCCCGGTCGTGTCAGTTTACCGTCCCATCGGATTACGAGAGTGAGGGAATAGAGAGTGCACCTATGCTTGCGCATACACTTGGGCACTATAATCCCGTCCTGCGCCGTTGGATAGCCTCAATTGAGGCAATATTGATACCATTTGGCCAAAAACCAAGTACTTGAGTAAGATGTTTTGTTAGTCAAATAAAAAAAAATTGGTAAAATACAATTATTGATTTATTTCATGTTTTTTTTTATTATAATCATTAAGGTAGTCACAGGTACATAAACTTCTGTATTATAAAAAATAACAAAATACCATCAGATTTCTCTCAGGTCTGTGCATGTAAATTATTGTAATTAAAGTGGAAAATTACGATGCAGACAAAATCAGAATCAACAGTGAATAAAAAACAATAGTTCTGTCCCAGCCTAATACTTTTGCCCAATATTTAGCTATTCAGCCAGGAAGCCCGCAGAACATTCGGTATTTGGCGTATGGCCAAATAAACAATTTGTTGCAAGTCTAATTAAAATTATTTCACAATTGGTCAAGATTATGCATAACTTACATACAAAAAAACATGCAGTTGTATTTAGAGCCTATTCCTTTTTTGAAATTGGCCCTTTAGATAATATGGTCAATATTCTATAGTTGTTAGTTTGTTATTGATTTATTATATTATAATTTGTTTTATTAGAATAAAATAAGTAACATGATAAAGTTAAAATTAGTTTGAAGTCCTTACCTATCATACCCAGGAATCGGAGATCCTATGTGGAAGCTGCAGTATAAATTATCTGATTCACTAGAAGCTCTTTGCCTTCTTCGTCCTTCAATGTTAAATTTTGGATCTTGATATGGTCTACTTTTGGGTTTTTTAAGAATCCCTTGAGGTGGGGACTTTGGTAAAGGATTATTGAGTATTTGCTTTAATGGCTGCTTCACTACAGACATATCCATCATTTCTTGGTCTACTCTTTCTAAAAGTTCTTCTACTTTAGGTAAACGGCTGTCATCCACTTTTGAATTTGACATAGGAGTTACTAATAATGGTCTAGTAGGACTTGATCGATGTAACTTTGATCTAGCTGCCAGATAACTAAGCAAACAAAATTTATATAAGATTAAAAAACCACTCTTGTTAAAGAAAATTAACACAATTTAAATACAATATAAAATTTAAATATAAATACTTTGTATGTTACAACTAAAATTATGATAGAATGTAACCACATAGCATAGTTGACATTTATGAAATGTTAGGTTATGTCAAATGCTTACCTGTGGTGCCTCTGCTGGTCGTGTGACATAGCGTAGTCACCGTTTTCGGCGGCGGCAAATGAACACTCGTAACGGTAGTGATCGTAACTCTCCTCCTGAGCGCCGTTTAGGGTAAAGTAACTTTTGTTTGGCAGGGTGCGTTGGTAACGAGAATTATAATCCGCTGACCGATCGCGCGTCACATCCTCGTAGGGTGACCTATCCACTCCTTCGCTGCGGCACCGTCGCCGAAGTACACGAGCTGGCCCCCGACCAGACAACTCCAAGACTGATCCGAGAGGATCGCACGAGTCAAAGTTTCCCTCGAAGTTTGAGGATGTACGTCTGTTATCCATATCAGACGCGCCTACACACGACACATGATCTAGTGTCCACATTGATCACTTAACACACCACACCACGCATTTCACTGTTGCACTAGTAATTTTATTTATTGTATACATCCGATGAAGCTGAAAACGGCGTCGAGATCGAAGGACGACAGCTGACAGAATATCGAAACAACGTGCCAGTTCTCCCGCCAAAATTGAAAGAAAAATACGTTCTTTTTATAAATTAGCCTAAAAAATCTTTCCATACACCAACAAACTATTGAAACGAATTTAGTCCACACTATAGCATATTGTAGTGCTATATATTTCTTTGAATTCGTAGTAATGGCGATCGTTAATTTGTAAATATGTTGATCAACTAACAAGATAGATTAGTATTGATTTTCTTGTTATATATTGTAATACCTAATAACATTTTGAAACTGCAAAATAATAAAATAAAATATAACTGATAATGATACTATTTCACATCAATATGTAATTAAAAATTAAGAGTTTGTGATGAAACGAAATTAATTTTCCATTTTCATAGTTTGCTGTTTTCGGGGTTACCAACTTCGCTTCTCAAAAAAATGCCAATAAAAGATAAAATACTGAAATATACCCCCAAGAGATAAAACGAAATGTCCCTAAAATCAATATAATTATAACCTAGGCCCCCGAAAGGAATGCAACAAAGCACTATTAACTGTAAATAGCATTTATTAGCATTAGCACTTGAAAGTTTTGGTCAGAAGAAGTAATAAGAATATAATCATCAATATCTGTAGACGTGGTAAATTATTATTCGCCCATATGTAGTGCAGATGACTTTTAATTCCTTTAAAATTAAAGAATGAACAAAAAAGAACAGTTATTTGTGGGCCATACAAATACTTGTACCGTTTGGAATTTGAAACCGCAGCCCACAGCGTTGCAATTCTCTTTTTAACTAAGGAATCATTGAAATCCAATAAAGTGGTATAAAATTATTTTCCGAAAAAGAATCAAAAGAATCTCCTTCTTTTACGAAGTCGGTTGAAAATATATCAATGTAATTATTAGTGTATGTCTACACGCTCTTATTACAAAAGATCTCCACGATACAAGAGAAAGTTTAGGTGTAGCTTTTTTAGGTGTAGCTAAAAAGGAAAAAGAAAGAATCTTTCTTCAATAAATTCTCGAGGTTGATGTAGGTCACTAAAAAAGTAAAAATACGCAGTCAACACGTTAAGTACCAAATACTATAGAATCTAGCAACGCAATCGGTTGTTCACGCTCTCACTACAGATAATGCGACCTTTATCTACCTAATTAAATCCATTAACACTTTAAACGAGCTCGCTATGGGTGGTATCGAATATAAAGCATCGATTTACGCAGAACAATCGTAATGTTTCGCAGTGTAACGGAGTCAAGTACGTTGCCTATTACGATCAACAATGACGCGGTAATGAAACAGTTTGGCGACAATACAGCGATCACTGGGCGATAATTGTTAACTATAACCAAATTGTATGTAACATAGAAAAAATGCTACTTTTTTGTATATATATTCATTCTGACATAGAGTGGAGACCGCTGATTAGTGTTAAATTATGTAAGGCAAAATTGTAAATGGATCTTAGATCTGATTACGGTGGCAGTGATTGCATTTAAAATTTATTAGCTTCTTTTACATAGGGAAATGCATACGCATTCCCAGCTTTAGCAGCACCTTCACCGCATATTGGCAGGACCACGCGAACGCTTTCGTACACATACACGTAACGCGGACCCACCAGCGCCGGCCAACCCATGGTAGTCTCTCCTTGGGAGATTAATTTTCCCCCCTCTTCTCCTGTCTCCCTCCGCGGCCATATCACCGTCGCATCAATATAGTTGCAGAGGATAAGGCGAGTAGAGCATCTCCTTTTCAACACTGCTCTTCCCCAGCAAATCCACCTCTGTTGCAGCGGTTGGGGGAGAGGACACCCCTATCGCTGCATTAGACTTGCCAAGCTCATTGGGAGTGGCCAATTCGCACCGGCCGTTCACCTTTTGTCAGTTATATGGGTCCCTCTTTGTTTGCTATGGCAATTAAGCCCTGCCAGGATAAGGAAGAAACCTTGCAATGTCTTTTTTGTCAATTTACCAAAGTTTCATCGTAATCGCATGAATGGTATCAAAACATATTGAAAACGAATAAACAATGAAACAATTTTTTTCTGTTCGAAACTTTCGCAGGCGTGTCCAAAATAAGTCACCAAGGTTTCATCGTAATAATTATATGTTTATTTTCAGTTTATACAAAGGTACTCTGTGGTTTTGGTTTCGGTAGAACTAGTTAGACTCATAGATTACTGACTATATACTAGAGAATTTGGATGATACTGCTCTGCTCACAGAGTACCTTTTGTATAAACCGAAAATACTGCTGGGTTTTACATGGCGAGGACTAGAGACGATTTTACACGTGGTAGAGCCATTGTGCAATTATATTAGTAGTATAGTTGTAGCACGAATGGGTCAGCTCGACCGGGGAAGGACCTCGCTCTCACAGAATATCAGTGTGAAATAGTGGCTTAATGCTGCTGTGTTTCGTATGGTGAGTGTAGAGAACCGGAGACCCTTTTTACTGGAAAAGAGGCATTCCATCTTAGCCCTCACGGGTGACAACGCATCTGCATTTTGATTTGTAATCGAGGATAGATATAGTCTATGGGCCGCAGCAACCACTTATCATCAGCTGGAGTGTGTGCTCGTTTGTCACCCTATCCTATAAAAAAAAAACAATAATTATATCTAAAGGGGCCCCGAAACTGTCAAACGGTTTGATTCAAACACGTAGATTTTGGTTTGAGTCAAACCAATTTGATCATTTACGCCGTTGGTATGACGTTGATATGGTTGTTTGATCAAACGTTACGTGTTTGAAGCTTGTTTGGTCGAAATTTATATTTTGGTTTTGTTTGAAGCACCATATCTTAATTTGTAACAATCTTTGCACCAAATTCCTTTTCTTTTTTTCTTATTATTTAAGCAAGACATTAATACGATAAACATGAGAAATTTTTTATCCGTAGTCGATAGCATTTTTTGTAATCACAATAGTACTTTCTTGTTTGAACTTTGAAGCCACACTGCGCGCTTCTGTTTGATGCGAATTCAAAGCGACATGAAACGGTTTGGTCAAACACGTGAGCTTTGAATCAAACCATTTGACCGTCTTGGGCATTGATTTATATATTACACTAGATCAGTAATAACCGCGCCAAAGCGTTGCCACTGCACATATGGCCACAGCCATATACCTAGCTAACGTCAGTTCGGTGTTCAATGTAACGCCGACAGAGTTGAGCCGCGACAAAAAATGGGTAAATGCGTAGTGAAAGAATGCTATTCAAGGTCACAAAAACGTAATAAATCAAGCGGGATCACTTTCAACATATAATTTTTAGTTCTTGTTTTCATATAAACGTAAAAACCTCAAATAATTAATAAAAATATCCAATATTGCCATTTAAGTTCAATGTGGGCACTTTTCCGTGTTTGTGACTATCCTACATTAATGGGAGACTATATAATAAAGCCGTGGTAGCTCAGATGGTTAGCGCTCGCTGTAAATTTCACAGTACGCTAGCAAACCGGGTTTGATCCCCGCCGGCACCAATGAAATTGTTAATTGCAATTTTAAGTGCTGATTTACCACGTGTTCGCGGTGAAGGGAAACATGGTGAGGAAACCTGCATGTCTGAGAAATAAGAAAAAAATATTTCGAGGACATGTGAAGTTCACCAACACGCATTGGGGCAGCGCGGCGGACACTTCCTTGCCCTAAAACCCTCTCAGAAATGAGGGGAGGCCTGTGCCCAGCAGTGGGACGTATATAGGCTGTAACTTTTTTTTAACTTTATATAATTAATGGAGTAAGTTAATTTGTTACCTCTGGTTTTAAATATTTTGGAAATTATAATAAAAACTACCTTTTAACTTTCATACAAAATAATTATTCTTATTTTAGTTTATTCGTGAATTATATATTAAATATATTTTATTGCCTATTTTATATGGTTTAATTTATTTGTACAATAAAAATACTTATAAAAATTTGTTTTATTTCATCATTATGTTTACTTATATATATAATAAGCTTTGTATCCTTTTCTTCTAAGGGGACGCAAGAAAGATTTTAAAATAAAATATATTTTATAAAAACAATTAACTGCAGCTTGAAAAAACTCATTTTTATTGAATATTTTAGGCAAAAATTCATATAGTAAGCCACACCAACCCGCCATTGCATGTTTGTGTGTCTATCTTTATCTAATCTTGGCGACGATATTGTTTTCGCAACTTGTGTAAGTGAGACAGATATATATTTATTTAAAATTGTTATTAGTTTCAAAGTTACGTCGTCGCATTTGGATAGTGGTTACACTTTTTTCGACGCGCGGTAATGTGGTTTGCTCGTCTAGTGTTGTATAACACAATGATCTCGGGGCCCCTTTAGTCAATAGTCATAAGAGGTGGCAACGCATTAGTATTTCAGTTCTCAGCGATGTTAGATGTGTCTATGGGACAGACATATTACCATCAGGTTCGAATTTGATCTCTTAAGAGAGACAAAGCCCTATTGTGGAATGTTACTGCTTTTTGTCAAACTCTAATCCCAGGAACACTTCGTTTAGAGTTGGGGCAGCATTAGAGATGGAACTGAGTAAGTTGCGCAAGACAATACGTAAGGTTCACGTGCGATGAAGTTTTTAGAGGAACTGTCGACGGCGCTAGTGCTAAGAGGATTGATTCTTTCCTCGCTCAAGGTTAAGTATAGCCATTCAGTGAGAAAAATTAGTCAGCGTTCTTATCTGGGCTTAGGACTATATTATGATAATGCTTTTAATGTCTGTAATGTTACATAACATGGAGGTGTGAGAACAGGAGAACGATCGCTATGTGCTAAAGCATAGCCCGGCTATCCCTGAAAATTTGTAGAATTTATAGCCGCGCTGCCGTGGGTAGGTAGTATCTGCGAAGTAGTTTTTTTTTTAATTTTTGTCAAAAAGAAACATTAAAATATGGTGAAA